CAGGCACATGGACACACACAAAGGTAGTCACTAAAGTACCCCCAAGATGGGGATGGGGGAGCAGCAACCAAAGTTTGCATCAAAAGGCAACTCGCTCCGTAAGTGCAGCACTCTCAGTGTAAAGTGCAGTGCTTCAGCATGAAGTGCTACACCCCAGAGGGCGAGAGGGAAGTCGTGGGGAGGCACACCCCAGTTACTGGTAGACATAATATGATGTCAATTTTGTTTTTAAAAATACATACATACATAGTCTAGATGCCACTAAGAGCTAATAGTGAATATTTCTGGAAAGTGGGTGAAAATGATTGCTGCTCTTCACACTTTTTAATTTGCAAACATGAATTGGCACTATTTTAGGAAACTTCCCTAATAAAATAAATCAATAAATGAAAAGCATAAACATAAAAGTGACAAATATCCCTGCACTTACCACTAGAAGGAAAATGATCCACCTGGAATCTCCCAGGTGCCCCTCCCTCAACACTAGGGTCTAAAATGAGCCAGGTTTGAAAGCTGGATATTTATCATCCTTGGTTTGACTCATGTGCCTTTCTAACTAACATGCCTGGGGGAGGAGTAATATCACCAGTTGACATATTCAGTGACGTACACTGTGGGAATTAATGAAATAATGGTTGGGAATGCAGCTACTATAGGACCAGCACACTGCAGATTCTGAATGAGGTTTCCAAAGAATGGCTTGAAAACTATACAAGCCCTGAGTGGCCACAGGAGCAACCTTTCTCCAGGACCTCCTCTGTGCCACACACTGCTTACATGTCAGACATATGCTATATCAGACTGTGTGAGGTAGGGGATATTATTTCCTTATTTCATTGATGAAAACACAAGTAATGGGAGTCAAGTCAAGGCAGGGGCAAGCAAGCAGGAAGCAGGCGAGCAGGATTCTAATCCAGGCCTGGGCTGGCAGAGCTCCAGTGATGGCTGTCAAGCCCTGCACCTCCTCTGCTACACTTGGTGGAGGGAAGGGGAAGAGCTGATGCCTCTGCTTCTGCCCAAATTATCCCTCAGTCCCAGGTCACACTCAGAGCTGATTTTTAAAAGCAAACTAACACAGTGGGTTTGCATTCCTTATGCTCCATAAGGTGCCATGAACGCTGAATTAGCCAACGCTGAACCACTGCTCCTGGGGAAGACAGGGCCAGGAACCCACGGGCATCCCCTAATTACATTTCCAGCAATGGATCAACTTACAACTCTATTTCATGTATATTTCTGTTTTAAAACACCCTAATTAATATATTTTGTTGGTTTATGACATTGAATTCAAAGCCAAAAGCACTATAAACCAAATTTTCTCCATAAGAACAGTCATAACTTTATTGTGCTTAGGGACACTATTTAGCACCTCAGCATTATGCTCAGAGGTCATTTTAAACAGTGAAACCACCACCACCAATAACAACAACAACAAAAAATCAGAAAAATGCTACAAACATGGCAGGAAATAAAGTATAAAAGATATCTTTTGGCCTCTATACTCTACATTCTTGATTAAACTTGGTAAGACTGGAGGAGAAAGAAGGAAACAAGGGGCCAATAAATCTTCCTAATGGAATTCATCTTCCCCTAACATCTAAAACCCCTAACGTCTCAACATCTGTTCACTCATTCATCAAACTTCACTGAATACATACAAGTGTAATGCTACCTATACAGAATAAATTATGCTCATCTCTTCTTTCCTAAGACCCTTAATTAAAACAGAACAAAGTGTCCTAAACTAGTGGCTCTCAGCCCTCAAAGAACATTTGGAAATAGCTGGACACATTTTTAGTTGTCACTACTGGGGGATTCCTACTGGCAACTGATGCTGCTAAATGTCCTACAAGGCACAGGACATCCCCCAAAACAAAGGCAACAGCACTAACATAGAAAAATCCTTCTCTAAGCAGCAATTGTTCTTCTGTGAAAAGTTAATGAGGTATTCTAAAACAGTGTTGTCCAAATAGAACTTTCTGGAAATGTTTTATAGATATAAAACATTTGCTTTCCAACACAGTAGCCATGTGTTACATATGATAGTTTTTGTATTATTCATTCATCGCACAAGTTAATTAATTAATCATTTAATTTAATCATAGCCACATGAGTAAGTGGCTATCATATTGTATAGAGAAGTTAAAGAATACATCCAACTTAAGAAATAACTAAATGCATGGTATGAAATTCAACTGGAATCCACATGAAATAATTAGCTATAATTGATGTCTTAAGAGCAGCAAATGAAAATGGACTACTAGCAGACAATATTGAATTGTATTTATTTATTTATTTATTTATTTTGGTGTGCTGTTTGTCATCGTCATTTTTAGGATATGCTTAGTAGTAAAGGGTGAAATGTCAGGTTCACAGTGTGAGATTAAAAGCAACTAAGAATGATAACTAAATTCTATGTGAAATTCCAAATTGGTTTTTGGAAAAAAATAAAGGACAGTGGTAAAAAACCTGAAAAAAAATCTATAAAGTCTATAATTAGTGGTACTGCACCAATGCTAATGTCTGAGATTTACTAATTTTACTGTGATTACATAAGATGTTGACATTGGGGGAAGCTCGGAGAAAGGGATTTGGGAACTGACTGTACTATTTTTGCAATAATTCTTTTAAGTCTAAAATTATCTCCGAATACAAAGTTAAAAAAGTTATCCCAAGAGCTAAAGGAAGTTTGCCGGAAAAGCTCCAAATGGTTAACACGTCATGAACAACTACGCCCATAGTTGTTAAGGTCCTGTACGATCTGTGCTCCTGCTGGCCCCTCCAGCCTGCACTCTCTCTTTCTCACTCTCCAGCCACACAGGGTTTCTTTTCAGCTGCCACAGGCACTCTGCACATGATGAGCACCCACCTTTAGGAAACAATCCTTTCTTACAAAACTTCTCACTCCCAGTAGCCCTGCCTCAAGAGCAGATTAAGTTCCCTTGCTGTAATGGAGTTTTACTCAACCACAAAAAAGAATGAAATGATGTCTTTTACAGGAAAATGGATGAACTTGAGACCATTGGGTTAAGGAAAATAAGCCAAACTCAGAAAGTCAAGAGTCATTATGTTTTCTTTCATATGTGGAGGCTAAAGAGGAAAAAGGAACAGAAAGATGAGGGCTGGGGACATTACTTAAAGTCAAAGGGAGATCAGTAGAGGACAGGAAAGATACTAGGAGGAGGCAGGAAGGGAGAGAAAGGAGAAACACTGGGGAATGATATTGGCCAAATTACATTGTTGTATCATGTGCATGTACAACAAATCCATAACAATGAATCTTACCATTTTGTACAATTAAGAACTGTGAGAAAAAAGTTGCTTGCTATAAACCCCATAATACTTTCACCTTTCTCTTTCCTTACATACAACACCCTTGGTTTTATTTGCATGGTTGATGATTTATGTGGACTCCACAAAGGCAAGACCATGTTTAAAATTCACCACAGTGCCAAATCTGTAGACACACAGCTCCATGTTTAAACAAACTCAGGAAGTTCTTAAGAAGTTAGTGGGATTCACAGTCACATGTCTATAGTTTCTGACTCACGAATCTGATATTTACTGAAGCACCAGGACACAGTGGGGCACCAACAGACTAACTGAGTAAATGAGTCAGTTAAAGAAAACTGGTTCTAACTACGATGCCTGTCATCCAATACAGCAGAGGAAGTCCAGACAGACTTCTGCTTTCTATTTTTATCTAGAGCACATGACAGAAGTGAAAGGAATTCCCAGTCCCAAGTGGGAAACTTGCTGGGGGAAGCCTGGCTTCTTAGGCCTCAGCCCAGAAATGATCCTGGCAGGCTACCTCCTCCAACTCTCTCTGAAAAAGCTGCCCAGCTCCCAGGCAAGCCATTCATTCTCTCAACAAACAACCTTTGAGGACCAGCTATGAGCCCAGCACTCTTCTAGGAGTCGATGATAAAACAATGAACAAAACCAGTAACATATCAGCCTCCCAGTTTATAATCTAGTGATGGAGACAGTCAATGAGACAAATCAGTGAAATAAAAAGTTTCTAGGAAGAACATGCTACCAATAAAACATAATGACAGCTAACACAAAGTGTTCGTGTAATTGCTTGTGGTCAGTATGGAAAGCTGGGCATTTTTCACAGAGCAGCCCTGGGAAGACCCCAAGATTTTTGAGCAAAGATGTCATGGAAGTAAAGGAGCCAGTCATTAAGTATGTTGTGCGGGTGGGGTGGATACTGGAGGGAGAAATCCAGAGATGCAAATCCCTAAATCAAGAGTGAGCGTCCCCTTGAAAATCCAGCAGGGATGCCGTGTATTTGCAGTCAAATGCTTAATGGGGAGGCAGCTAAGACTCTGATCCTTCTGGTTCCTGGTCGGTCACGTAACTTTGTAGTTACTCTATCATCACGTAACAGACAAGCAATCCATTATCCATACTTACTAGGCTCTATTGGAGTTCCACAGCCAGCACAGAGGAAATTCTGGGCCACTACCACCAGCTCCCTCCTGAGGACAGAAAATGGATATAATAACATTAATATTATAATAACATTAATGGTTATAACAACATTAATAATGTGGCCAATGGAACATTTTTTAACCAATGGACATTATGATGTGTTTCTTCCCTTGGGACCTTAATTTTGTCATTTATCATTTGAAAAAAAAATGAGATTTATTCAGTACAATTTTCTAATTGAACTATCTGCATCTTTTAAAGCTTAAACCCTTTAAAACTCTCTTCTGTCCCTAAAGTATAGAGGTCAGAATCACAAATTTTTACTCCACCATGGGGTCTTTAAGAACTTTTCATTGTGCACAGGAGTTTTTCTCCACATTACAGTGGAAGACGGTTCAGGAAGAACACCACCAAAAGGTGAGGTCTTTGGAAAGTTCATAAATGGATCCAAAGATAATCAATGAAAAGAGGTAATGGAAGTAATACTCCATGGAAATGTTTCCTACTGAATTGCTGTGGACAATTTCACCAAGACAAGATGGTTAAAATTGAATTGGAGTTCAAGGCCAGCAAAAATGGTGAATGCAAAAGTATGCTAAGTTTCTGCCCATCTACCTTAGAGAAGATCGAGAGAATCCCTACAGAAGAGATAGCCCATGCCAATAAAAATGACCTCTCACAAGGCCTAGAGAGCCAGTGAGCTCTTCTGCCCAAGCAGCTCCAAAGACTTTCTTGCCATACTCTCTAAAGAAAAAAAATAGAATGAATCTATGAGGCACTTCCTTAGGGCCAAATCAACAAGGTTCCACAGTCCCTTTATGATCCTCTGGAGTGTGCTCACCAAATTTAACACAAACCAAGAGGAGTGGAAAAATGAGTTGGTAAGAATGTCTATTCTGTAATCTTTCTCTATAAGCTGTCATATAATCTCAGAACAAATTACAATTAAACTACTGTTAGTCTCTGTGTATGTATGCATTCACATGAATGCACGGTTTACTTACTTTTCTGCATCATTTTAGATTTTAAGTCTTTTCTGACTTTTGCTATTTCTAAAAGAATGAGAATGTTTTTATTCATATTCTGCTACATTTATCAATTATAGGAGTGCTCTTCAAGATTGAATTTTCCCTTTTGAAAATGTATTAGTTTTTAGTACATACTACCGGCATGGGAAATATGGAATGATCCAGTCTTTTCAAATTGTAATATTTGATTTTTTTAGTTCCATTATTAACCACTTTAAAATTGCCTTAAAGCCTATTTAATTTTCAGTTGCTATGGAATACTTACAGTTAAGGATGCATAGTCACATTCTCAGTTTGTCAAAACCTACAGAGCCCCCAAAAGCCCATGATAAACAACGTGTCAGAAAAACTAAGCTAGAAAAATATGCACAACTTTCCTGTTCCAAATTTCCCTGTGTCCCGGAGCATACTCTTTTTTTCCTTCCCCTACCTCAATAAAGAATTGGTGGAGCCAAACATACTGGCACATGCCTATAATCCCAGTGACTAAAGGAGGCTGAGGCAGGAAGGCCAACCTCAGCAACTTAGTGAGGCCCCAAGCAACTTAATGAGACCCTGTGTCAAAATAAAAAATAAAAAGAGCTAGGGATGTGGCTCAGTGGCTAAGTGCCCCAAATGAAATCCCTGGTATCAAAAGAAGAAAAAAAAAAAAGAATAAAGAATCAGTAGGTTCCATCACCACCTGTTTTCTTTCAATGGACTGGGATCCAGGCAGTAGTCTATACTTACTTGAGTGGAGGATGAAGATCAAGTATGATCTGAAATCTAGGGGGAGCCCAGTCTTCAGTTCCTCTGACTCTAGACTTAAGTTGAATGTCCTGTACTATATCCATACTGGATTCAAAGTCTTTTCGGACATTTTCTTCATTTGCAACCTGCATATCACATAAGAAGATTTAGGAAAACCATAAATATTTTAAGAGTTTAAATAAAGAGCATTCAAATGTGTTTTCTATCTTAAAATGTATCATGAAAATTAAAACTGTTTTTACCTGAACCATGGCAAGGGCCCTCCACCTCCACCTCACCCCCCCCTTCCTCCTATGATGCCCAGTTTTCTTAGGAGTATTTTTAGTTTGTTTCCAGACTTTGAATTTTCAGCAAGTAGGTCATTTTGACCTGGAAAATTTTTCAGAAGACTCCCTCGGTCAGTCAACAGACTGGGAAGCAGTGCCTATGAGCACCGTCTTGTGGTGTGTCTCCCTAGAAACAGCTCTGTTCAGGTGCTCCTGGACTAATACTTGCCCATCAGCCTTCCCAGTTTCCCTGATAAAATTAAACTCTCCCTCCCCAACACTTCCAGAGTGTTTTCTCCTCACTCTTATTTTAGCCTTTGTCACAAGTCCTCCACCCCCACCCAGCTGCAGGCTCAGAGGATGCTATGTGCTACAAAGAAACCAGCCTGTACTTTAAAATGAGGCAACTGGGGCATGACTCCTGCCTGACCACTGACCAGCCCAGCTGAGGTCTAGGCCCAGCATTTTAAAATAACAAAGATAAGAGCATTCTCCTGATAAGATACATGGGATTAAAATGTGACTCACAAAGCACAGTCCCTGATACACAATAAGCACCCAATACATGCTGGTTTCATCTTTGGTTTCAAGTCTCCCCCATGGGGGATACCATACAAGAAAGCATAAATATTGGAAGTGAACGGGCTAGGGAAACAGAATTTAGGAACTTTTGATTCAAGGTCAATTTATTTTAATACTTACTCCTGAATCACTTGCATTCAGGGAATCTGCCAGCTGATACTTAACTGCTGACGATACCCAGCACTTCTGGAATACTTGGTACAACTCTTTGGCTAACAACTCAGGAGAATTGAAGTCTGCCTCATGAGAAACACTGAAACATAAGAGATGTAAAAATTGGAAAACTATATACATGAGGCATGGGCTCAGACTCTTCCTCAGGTTTCCAACTGTTCTTTCTACCCCCAACTCAGAGGAGGTTGTTGGGCGAAACCAGTATCAGTCACTGGCTGGTATCTTAAGCAATACACTTCGTTCATAGTATACGTGCCTAAGACTGGAAGGTGAAAAAAGCACTAACTTTCAAGTCATAAGGCCTGAGCACAAGCCCTACTTCTGCTATGGAACAGCACTGTAACCTGAGGCACATGCTCTAGGGGCCTTAACTTCTAGGCCTATAAAATGAGGTTTAAAAATAAATACACACATGGAAACTTGACGGGCCTGCTCATGAGGATTAAAAGAGAATGTATACAAAAACCTCTTAAGTGCTATAAAGTCTTTGGGGCTGCTATGACTTGAAAATATACAGCATTCTCCAAAGGCCCATATCTTAAGGGCTTGGTCCCCAGGGTGGCACTATTATCTGGAGGCAGTGGAACTTTGGGGAGGTAAGGCCTAGTGAGAGGTTCTTAGGTCACTGGAGGTGTGCCCTCAGAAGGGAATAGGACCCTGCTTCCTGGCTTAAGATGTGAATGTTCTCTCTGACATACACTTCCACCATGTTGTCCCTCCAACCACCATCCTCACCAGAGGACTGTGCAGCTACCATGCCTCTGAACCTCTCAAACTGTAAGCTAAATAAAACTTTTCCAAGTTAGTTGACTTTATTATTGCTAGAGTAACACAAAGCCCCTAATTGGGGTAGGGGAGCAGGCTGACTGACTGATTTAGGTGGTAATCCCCATCTTTGAGCTGGCTCAGCCCTGTTCGAGACCTAACGTCTACAGTACCTACAAGGTACACACCGAGGGGCCTAAGTGCACATGGAGGACAATTACCTCTTACAGGACCTGTAGGAACAGCTACAAGTTTCTCTAATATCATTAAACTCTCCAACTTCTGTGGGAAAAGAAAGAGTAGTGAGATCTTTCAATTCTATTTCACTCAATCATAGTCAATTTTGTAAGAAGAACACAAAAAGAGCTCCCTGCCTCTCAGAAAGAACCAATTATTCCACATCTACATGCCTTAGGTTCTTCTGAGTTTCTAGTATGAGGCTCCAGCCAAAGATCATAGGTAGAATTTCATCTGAAATTTCACCAGAATATAATTGAGAGATCAAGCAGATATTAGATCCTAATGAATATCTGCATTTTCATTCAATTCTACAAGTGAGATGAGAGATTAGCTAGCAAGACATATCAAGCAAAAAAAATAACTTTTTAATATCAGAGACATAATTTGATCTTGATAGACATTTCTTTGCATGCCACTAAAAAAGGCTACTGTGTGTAATACATGTTAGTGTGTGAAGAGGGGTGTGGGGAGGCAACCAGTCAGAGCCAACAAGAATCCAAATCTTACCTACAATAACAAACTCATCAAGGCTGCATCTGCAGGCCTCTTGCACCACATTAGAGTGAGAAGGTGTTTCGACCTTGGGGCTGACCTGTAACACAGCACAACCTAGAGAAAGAAGGCAAGGGGGATTTCACCATCAGAAGAAAAAGAAAGATTGGGGATGTAGCTCAGTAGTAGAAAACTTTCCTAGCATAAGCAAGGCCCTTTGTTCAACCCCCTGCACTACAAAAAAAAAAAAAAAAGTGTAACCTGTAACTCCCAATTTAACAGAAACTAGAAAATGAAAGGGCTAAGATAAGAGATTACTTTAATATTTTGTTAAATTCAATTCTAGGAATAAAAATTGAAGGAAGCTATTTTTTTTATTCTTCTTGCATTCAGTACAATTAAGTGAAATATACTGATAGGAAAATGGGGGTTCCTAATAGTAATCTGCCTACTTTTGAGTATGTTTGAAATGTTCCTTAATATAAGGTTTTAAAACAATGAAAGAGGATTGAAAACTGTCAGTTTCACAGTAAGGCAAACAAATTAGGAGAGGAGTCTGAGGCAGGAGTATCACAAGTTCAAAGTCAGCCTCAGCAATTTAGCGGGACCCTAAGCAACTCAGTGAGACCCTGTCTCAAAATAAAATATAAAAAAAGGGCTGGGGATGTGGCTTGGTGGTTAAGTACCCTTGGGATGAATCCTCAGTATCTAAAACAACAACAACAACAACAAAATCTGCCAGGAAACAAATATAGGGGAAAAAAATAGGAATGAAGAAGGCAGAATTCAAATTTAGGAAATGCTATGAAAGTAGCAAATGCTCACATCTGCTGCCAGCTTTGGTGCCCTCTCCTCCTGGGAGAACTCCTGGCTCCAACATGAGGCAAATGCTCCTATTTGGAGGCCCACTCTGCCGAGTCTTCCCTTCTGCCTCAGCAAGTGAGCTCCCACAGGGAAACACAGCACCCTGTCCACAGCTCACCCCTAGCACCACAAGCTCACAGCCAAGCACATCACAAGCTCACTATGTGCTCAATGAAGGACAGAGAAATACTTGGAAAAAGGACAAGTATTTAGAAAAGGCTAGGACATCTTTTGTGTGTGGGGGGGGGAAGAAGATGACAACTACAAAGGGCATCAGCCACTGGGAAAAAAAATGTAGAAAGAAGTCCGAGAAAAAAACAAAATAGGGCTGAGGATATAGCTCAGTTGGTAGAGTGCTTGCCTTCCATGCAGAAGGCCCTGGGTTCGATCCCCAGTACAAAAAAAATAGAATCTGAAAATTGGATGGAGCATAATAACCAATCCCAAGGCGAAATAGCAATGATGTAAGGCTTACATAGTTTACTCAAGAAATTTTGGACAAAAGGTTGAGAAATGAACATATTTCAGAAGAGAGAAGTAGTGTATGGAGAACACAGCATCAAGGTTCTCACATCTGCCCAACTTGCCTTCATAGCCACTGTCAGAGGAAGTGGAAGACCCAGATTCTTGCTTTGGGTTGGTATAAATGGTCATTTCGGAGTCAACTTGGTCACTCCCAAGGGACCCACTGGCTTCTTTTATGCTCCAGCTCTCCGCCTGCTGTTGACTCACGATGTCATACTTCATTTTCTCCATAGCTGATATAATCATATCAGCAACATAAAAGTAGGCATTCTCCTGCAGAGATTAAAAAAATCAATGAAAACATTCACAAGAAAAATCAACATTTTTTTAATGGAGGGTATATTAGATTTGAAAAATCAAAAAGCTCCATTGAAGTGAAGTTAATATAGTGTTATTTAATCAGGTGTTTACAGGTCATCTATGGCTTATAAACCATCATCTAGAGACATAGATTTACTCCACAATAGTCAACAGATGACCCAAGTTGAACTTGTTCTGATACAAAAACCCTATTGTTGGTAGTATCCCCAGAACTGACATTATTCATCAAGCATGGAAATTTTCCCAGCTGAGCAGACCCTGCCTCTATACCTCTGCTGAGCACTCCTGGCATTCTCTACCTATCAAACACTGAAATGAAACCTATTTGCTACGCCTCATCCATGTAGAGTTTCCAGATTTAAATCAGAACAACACTACTTAATGGACTAGGACTCTGGGTGGTCAGGAAGAAGCAGAAGGACTGGGGCTGTAGCTCAGCGGTAGAGCACTTGCCTAGGCACTAGTTTCCATCCACAGCACCACATAAAAATAAACAAAGGTATGCTGTCCATCTACAACTAGAAAATAAATAAATAAGTAAATAAACAGAAGAAGAAAGCATTCACCTTTTCTATGTCAACAGGTAATACAAATGCCTCTGGTAAGACGGAATTCAAAGAAATGGCTCTTCTCCTTATCTGAACAGCACCTGCAATATAGCAAGCCATTAAAAAAGGAGAAAACGAAGTTCAAAGAAGCTAAGAAAATAAAACAATCCTAGGGTTTAAGTTTTAAGTACTGCAGATAGATAGATAGATAGATAAAATATAACCAGTACAATTGTAAAATAAATGGGGACAGCAGCATGAGAACTCTTCTGATGGTAGGACTTGCAGATATTGCCTTAATGGGAGGCGACTGGAGTAACTGGTAGAATCCTCAGAGACAGCACAGGAGAATGCCTGGAGTGGAGAACAATGAGACAAAGAGGGTAGAAAGAGGAGAGGAGACATGAGGTGGAGAAAGTGAGGAGAAACACTCCAGACGCAGGCTATGAGAATTATGGGTTCAAGTCTTTGACTTATTGCAATTGACCCTAAACTTCCTGTTACATACACAAAATCATCTGAAAAAGATCAGCATTGCTTCTCTAAAATAGTCTTCCTCCAGGTAAAACCAAGAAGAAAGTGCAGAAGTTACCTTCTGCTGAATCATCCGTTCCTGCACCCTTAGCCACTCCATTCCTGGCAATGACCACCTCAAACAAGCATCATTTCTGTCATGTACTTTCTTCCTGCATCATTGAAAGCAAACATTTCTGTGAGAGCCACAAGTGTTGAGTGTCCCAACCAACCTGCTAAATTAGAATAAAAGGCTGCAAATACCCTGCTGATTATGCACTTCCACAGATGACAAACAGAGGCCAGCAGGAACACTCAAATGCCTTTCTTCAAGTTCAAGAAAGAGGCCGGTGCATGGGTGGGGCCTTTGGGCTTTGGAAGGCCATCTGGGGCTGGTGAACTTTTTCGGTGAAGGACTAGGTAAATGAATGTATAGGGTTTGAGAGCTATAAAATATCTGTGGCACTGTAAAAAGAAAGAAGCAATTGACCAAACACCTTTTTTTTTTTAAAAAAAAATAAAAACAGGAAGCTAGCAGAACACGGCTGTGCACAGGTATAATTCCAGTGACTAGGAAGGGTGAGTGAGGAGAATCACAAGTTCAAGGCAAGCCTCAGCAAATAAGTGAGGCTCTAAACAACTTTGCAAGACCCTGTCCAAAATAGAAACTAAAAGGGGCTGCAAATATAGCTCAGTGGTTGAGTGCACCTAGGTTCAGTGAGGAGGAGGAAGAGGGGAGGGGGAGGAGGAGG